CAGATCCCGAAGCTACCAGAGCCCAAGACAGAGATGGAGAGACTTGCATTCCCTCAAGGTGTGCAACATCCAGGGTTGGACCAAGCCAGGAACACAGTCTACGTGTCCCATTGGGTAGTAAGAACGCAAATATCTAGGCTGCTACCTCTGACCTCAAGAGTATACATCAAAAGGAAACTGGGGGTCTGGCCAAGTCAAAGTTGGACCTAGAATCCAACCACTCAGAAATGGGACCTGGGCATCCTTCCATGGCTTCTTAACCATTAGCCAAATAGCTACCCCTCAACTCCTTCTTGAATGGATCTGGTGAAAACAAGCACCCTGTCTAAATTTGGGGGAAGTTTTTTAGTCATTTAGTATTCATTATGTTGCCTTCTCTGGGTTTTTCATATACAGACTTTATTATGTTGACAATGTTATATTCAATTCTTTTTTAAAAAGTGTTTTTATCCTGAAAATTTGTGGACTTTTGTCAAATCTTTTTTCTATGTCATGTGAGAGACCCAAATATATTTTTCTTTTACACTGTGAATGTGGTACATTACATTGAAAGATCTGGGATAAATATTGCATTGATCAACATGTGGATGGTATACTATATTTCATTCCAGTAATAAATTCCACTTGGTATGGTATTCAAAAAATACCTTTTAATATGCTGTTGAATTCAGTTTTTTGTCATTCTGCCAAGGAATTTCTTTGCATCTTAACCCATAATGAAAGTCCAGATAAGTTTTGAGAATCACTGAAATACAAGTTTAATGAATGCAAGAAAAGGGACATCACATTTACTTGAAGAAAAACTGAACATCAAGGTGGGTATTTGGTGCAGTTAGAGGCACTGCCCACATCTCAGATCACTGTGCCTGGATTTGAATCCCAACCCCACTCATGATTCCAAACTTCCTGCTAATGATCACCAAGAAAGGCAGTACATGATAGCTAAAGCAGCTGAGTCCCTGCTCAACTGAGATCTGAAATCAATCATTGCTCCTGTGTTTGACCTGACCCAGTCCCAGCTGTGGTAGATTTTTGGGGAGTGCACCAGCTGATGGGCAGTGTTCCTTTGCATCTGTCTCTTTGGTAACTTTCAAAAGATTAAAAAATCTAAAAAAAATGAACAACTATTTATATAAATTGACTGATTATTTATTACTTAAAAGTGAGGTTCACATACAATGTTAAACTTTTTAAGGATAATAATCAATACCAATGTAATACATATTGCATATATTTTGTATCCAGATATACAGACACATTTATACCTGCATAACATTGGTGAGACTAGAAATAAACAAAGATTAAGAATCTTTGGATTGTTATGTAATAACTGATTTTTTTTTGGTATGTTAAAAGCCAAATCATATTAATTCTGGTTCAGCATTTGTAAAGAAAATTTTGGAATTAAAGTTGATGATGGGGGCCGACTCTGTGGCATAGTGAGTAAAGCCACTGCCTGCAGTGCCGACATCCCGTATGGACGCCGGTTTGAGTCCTGGCTGCTCCACTTCTGATCCAGCTCTCTGCTATGGTCTGGGAAGGCAATGAAAGATGGCCCAAGTCCTTGGGTTCCTGCACCCTTGTGGGAGAGCCAAAGGAAGCTCCTGGCTCCTGGCTTTGGATCAGCTCAGCTCGGGCCGTTTCGGCCAACTAGGGAGTGAACCAGCGGATGGAAGACCTCTCTCTCTGCTTCTCCTTCTCTCTCTGTGTAACTCTGACTTTCAAATAAATAAATAAATGTTTAAAAAAAGTTGATGATGAAATTGAGCTATATTTTTAAAAGAAAATACATGCAATCAAAATATCACATGGGGTATTGTTTAATCTAATTGCTTGATTTGTAGGCTCTCATGCAATACTTCATTTAAATTCTCCAGGGTTAATCTCCCCAAGGCCTTAGTGGAATAAATGTGTGACACGATTTGCTTCCAGGGTTTAGGTTTCACTGAGTTTATTTTGAAAATACTTGGATAGAAAATTTCCTTCCCTTAAAAATTCATTTACAAGTCCTGTAGACTCTGGCTACCTTTCTTCAAGTTTGCTCTTCTTTTTATAACACTTATTTCTCAGCAGTGGTCTGTTCCTAGTCTCTCTTAAATTTTACAAAGAAACTTTAGTAAATGAATAAGTCAAGTTCCTTGGCAATTAGGTGAGTGGATTCAATTCTTACTGTATTTCCCTTCAGAAGAAAGATAATCTGTTCCAATAATCTTTGCAGGAAGCAAGCCCACATAAAAATCTAATTGCTGTGAAAACCACAGAGTTCCACTAACTGGAGGTATTATATTTCTTATTTTTCATAACATTTGTGATTATTAAGTGACCAACAGGAAATATTTCATTGTTTTAAAAAATTACAATGTGACTTTCCTTTCTTACTAGCATACAAATTTGTTTTTAATAAATGATAACAATATAATATCATGCACAATATAATACTTTGTTCCTTAGATTAATTCTCAGATAAAAAATTGTGAGTAACGTCTTGTGTTTAATTGTTTTGAAAATGTCTATTACAGTGATGAGTGCATAGCAAATACACATGAGACAATTAGGATGGATCCAACTGCAAGGAAGGAAAGGAGGTGCACCATACCTTAAGCTTTCAGGAGTCAACTAAGAAGAAATGACTCTTCCTGGGCAAGATAGGAGACTAAGATTTTGGTCCCATGTCTGTTGTTATAAATGCAGTATGTAGGAGATGGGATGCAAAGCTACCTCTGTGGAAAAGTTGTGATGATAAGAATGAGCTGACTATGAATCAGGAAATGTGTTTATTTTCAAGACAATAATTTCTCTTTTACCAGAGGTTCCTGAGAGTTTATTCGAACAGCCATAAGGGTAAAATATACATTTTGAAAGAATGTATTTATTTATGTATTATTTATGGAATTTGTGAGTTTTGTGTTAAATTAAAAAGTACATTCAGGAGATAATTACAAATGTAGTATAAGATCAAATTGCAGGAAGCAAATCAAAGAAATTGAAAGTAGCAAATGAATAAATCATGCAGTGATATGTTAAAATCTCTATATCTATCGATCTATGTATCGATACAAATACACATACCGGAAACAAATGAAGATTATTATGCTTCATAAAATGAATGTTTTGTGATATTTTTGATATACAAATGAAGTATATTAACCTTCATAAAATGAATATTTAGTTAATAATCTCACATTAAGGTACAGGAATTTCACAAAATATTATGTGGAGTGGTATTCTCTTTATGTCCAATGTTAATCTAGATTTAGGTCAAGAGACATAGTTTTGAGAATAACTAAACTAAATGATATACAAGGACAGCTGAGGGATTCTTGAGGGACACTGGACCTTTATAAATATGATCCAATGCATCAAATCTTCTTAGCCATCTGATCTGTAATACTACCATATAATACAAAGATCCCATGAGATTTCATTTTATCTAAATGCTTTTTAGGGCTCAAGATATTTCTCCATGCAGTTTTTGATAAAAAAATTATTTATTTACTTTAGAGGCAGAGTTACAGACAGAGAGAAAGGTCTTTCATCTCTGGTTCACTCCCTAAATGGCTCCAAAGGCTGGTGCTGGGCCCATCTGAAGCCAGGAGCCAAGGGCTTCTTCAGGGTCTCCCACTTGCATGCAGGGGCCTAAGCACTTGGGATATTTTCTAATGATCCCAGGCCATAATCAGAAGTTGGATTGGAAGAGGAGCATTTGGAACACAAAACGGAGCCCTTATGGGAATCTGGCACTGCAAGTGGAGGCTTAGCCCACCACGCCACAGCACCGAACCATCTCAGTGCATTTTGAGTTTATATTGTGTGCATCTGATTTGGGCAAGGCGAACTTCTTTAGTATTATTGAACGTTTTGCCTCAGCACAAGTATATCACAGAGCTAGAGTATGTTGACTTATATACTCATACATCCATTTACTAAGAGTACAATATGCCTAACCTGTTCCAGTGTTCCAAGCTTTCTCTCATGAATTTTATTTCATTGTAAGCAAATAATGAAAAACTGTAATGATAAAAAATGAAATATGTGTCATGTTAGATATTTCTTGAGACTGGCATTTTTAGTGTTTTTAGTTTATAATGATTAGTAGTACGAACATGGCTATGAGGAATAATTCAAATGGAGATAAAATTATTGGTAGAGATGAAAAACAAAGACGAATTCATTGTAAGGATTGTTTGTGTTTCTATTAAAATAAATTTGATGCAAAAATTTCTAACAAACTAAAAGCATTGTAATTCCTCATGAAGGAATATCTCATCTTTGGAATCTTGGAGGTAGATAAAATTGGCCATCTGAAGGGGATATGGTAGAAAGAGCTCTAGCATACTACAAAGAGTTTGGATATATTATAAATTCATTCCCATTCCAAATTCCTCTAAATATATTATTTATAATACATTAAGAAGAAGTGACATATTTCATTATTTGACAAACATGGCTTCTTTATATACAGAGAAAATCTAAAATATTTGGTGAGAAATGTGTGATTAGGTGACACAGACATAGTTGGAGAAACAATTGTAAAAACTATGAGCACTAGTAAAAACTATGGGCTTGACCATGTTACTGAGTCATTAACTTTCCTTTTTAATTCAAAGATTGCATAGTTTAATAGGTGAGGCATGAAAGAAATTGTTGAAACTTTCATAAATGCAAATATTTCCCAATAGATTCATTTTCAGATTATACCTCAGGTTCAGGTATAAAAATAATGCCTATTCTTCTCATAAAGCTAGCTGTTCTGGGAATACTAAGTACCATTGTTTGAAAGTACCACTGACAACTGGATTTATTGTTCTATTTGTACAAATTTATTCACTCTATCATGATAATATTAGTAAATTCTAATTTTTGGAACAATGTAACAGGTGAATTTAATTATGTTCCACAATATAGATAATTGCTAAACCTTTCAATTTTTTCTAATGTTAATCTCTTTTATCCAAATTTTTATTTTCACTTCTCTGAATTGATTTCCTTATTTTGTTCTTAGAATCCAAGAAAATCAGACTGGTGGAGCTACCTTCATCCTATTGGGCTTCTCAGAATACCCAGACCTCCAGGTGCCCCTGTTCCTCGTGTTCCTGACCATCTACACAGTCACTGTCCTGGGGAACCTGGGCATGATTTTGATCATCAGGATCAACCCCAAACTCCACACCCCCATGTACTTTTTCCTTAGCCACTTGTCCTTGGTGGATTTCTGTTACTCTACAGTAGTTACACCCAAACTGTTAGAAAACTTGGTTGTGGAAGACAGAACCATCTCCTTCACAGGATGCATCCTGCAGTTCTTCTTTGCATGCATATTTGTGGTGACAGAAACGTTCATGTTGGCAGCGATGGCCTACGACCGCTTTGTGGCAGTTTGTAATCCTCTGCTGTACACGGTTGTGATGTCTCAGAAGCTCTGTTCCTTGTTAGTGGTTGCATCATTCTCATGGGGGATATTCTGGTCCCTGACACTTACTTACTTTCTGCTGCAATTATCCTTCCGAGGAAATAACATCATCAATAACTTTGTCTGTGAACATGCAGCCATTGTCGCTGTATCCTGCTCTGATGCTTACATTAACCAGAAGATAATTTTAGTCTCTGCTACATTCAATGAAATAAGCAGCCTCGTCATCATTCTTACTTCCTATGTTTTCATTTTTATCACAATCCTGAAGATGCCTTCCACTGGAGGGCGCTACAAAGCCTTCTCCACTTGTGCATCTCACTTGACTGCCATTATTATTTTCCATGGGACCATCCTTTTTCTCTACTGTGTTCCCAATTCCAGGAGCTCGTGGCTCATGATCAAAGTCGCCTCTGTATTTTACACTGTGGTTATTCCCATGCTTAATCCACTGATTTACAGCCTCAGGAACAAAGATGTGAAGGAGACAGTCAGGAAGTTAATCAATACCAAATTATCAAGTCACAGAATATAAAGTCTGTAAGAGTTACTTACTCATCTTCAGGAATATTGTACAAAACTTTTCAAGAGTTCTAGAATTATTGTAGCAATTTTGATTATTTCTCAAAATGTAAAGCATTGCATGTTTCCAGCATAATCTTCAGATGACTATTAGTCAATATTTGCTTAATTTAAAGTTTAGTAAATGATTTATGAGACAATAAGTAACATAAAAATTAGAACTCTATTCATTGAAATGAATTATCTAAACTCAGAGTTTGTCTTGAAGAATTTCTTAGTACATACTATCATTTGGTTGCCAAGGTAAAGCTTCCATTGTTTTTAAAATCAGTGAAAAATGGTCTGATGTAATGGTTTCGAAGATTTATAGCTTACCATGACAGAGAATGTATTAAATGCAATATGATAAATAAAAATGTTCAATCTCCAGACACTGAGATTAAAATAAATACTTAATAAATATATATTTAATTCCACAATGGAGGATTTGATATAATTGTATGTAATACATATTTCTGAATCAAAAAGTACAAAACAAAATGTTTTTGTTTAAATCCTATGCATTTAAAACAAATTTTGGGATCGTTGCCTACAAGATATTAAAAAATGAGAATAATGTCATACTTTAGAAATAGCTGTTTCCAAATATGAATTTATTGTTAATGTCTACCTTGGTTTATTATAAATCATATATTAGTGTATACATGCTGAACATCTGAAATCTGAAATACTCCAAAGCTACTATTTTTAGCACCAACATTGTTCTATAAGTGGGTAATTTCATACTTGGCTGTTGTGATGTTACCCAATGAAAAAGCAAGCACACTAAAAATATACAAAATTATCATCAAGCTATTTGTATAAGATATACCGACCTGTGAAATAAATATAAAGGATTTTGTGTTCAGATTTGGAACTCAATCCTAAGATGTCTTAAAATATATATGAAAATATTATAAAATTTTGAAAGTCCAAAATCCAAACCACTTTTAGCTCAAAGCCTTTTAGCTAAGGGATACTACTCAAACATTAGCATGCAATTTTAGTCAACATAACATTAGACAGTTCAGTTATGTGTTTTGCGGTCCACTCATTATTCAGGCACATTAGACAAGAGCTGGATGAGAAGTAGAGTAGCCAGGACCAGCACTGGCACCCATAAGGGCTGTCCAGTGTTATAGGTGGCAGCTTTACCTACTGTACCATAATGTCAGCCCTTGGATCATTTTAGATGCTCAACACCATACAAAAGTTCCTATTGCTCCACATCCTTGCCATCACACTATCATCATTATAAAATAATATCCATCCAGTGCTGGGACATTGTATTCCATTATGGCTTTGGCTTTCTCTTCCCTAATAACTAAAAGTGTTGAACATCTTTTCATGTGCTAATTGGATATTGAACATCTGTATGCCTTTGGAGAAATGTCTAACTTTTACACATTTTCATTTTCAAAATATTTATTTATTTATTTGAAGGCGGAGTTACAGAGAGAGAGTGAGAGAGAGAGAGAGGGATGGAGGGAGAAAGATTTTTCATATGCTTGTTCACTCCCCAATGGCCTGGGGCTGGACCTTCCAAAGTCAGGAGTCAGGAGCTTCTTCTGGGTCTAGCACGTGGGTGCAGGGGCCCAAGGACTTGGGCCAGCCTCTGAGGTTCTCCATCTCACCAGCAAGGGCTGAATCAAAAGTGGAGCAGCCCATAATGGATGCTGTGCCCATATGGGGTGCCGATGTCACAGGTGGTGGCCTTACTGGCCACACCACAGTGCTGGCCCCTATTTATTTATTTTTAAGGTACCTAGAGATAGAAGCAGGGAGTGAGGAACAGGGAGACATAAAGAGAACAACCATCTACTGGTACACTTCCCAAATATCCATGTGAGAACCTGCTAGGCCATGGGGCCCAGCAACCCCAAACCAGATGAAACTGGCTGCAGATAATCTAAGGGCTAGCGGAGTGTTTATTGCTCTGGGAAGCCTCTCATCTGGGGCATTTCGAATGGCAAAGACACTGCATTTTAAATTTTACAAAGGAGCCTTTCTGCTGGTCGTCCACCACCTTATCACTGTCCATGTGGCTCTCTGAATCCACTCCAACAAGCAGCTTAACAGGCATTCCAAATGGAATGAGGCCTGCCTTCAAACCCCTGCCCTCTGTCTGGATAGACTCAATCTCCACGCTCTTTACCTCCCATTCTGTCCCCACTAAAATTATTCTTTCCTCTTTAACTGGCCTCCTCACCTTCTTTGAACCCTAAAACAGTCCATGACATTCAGAGTGGAGCCAGGTTCTGAAGTCCGAAGAGGGAACTGAATTCGGGTACCCCACTTGAATGACATGGACTCAACCCCTTGGGTCATGACCTGCTGACTCCCAGGTGTCATTGGCAGGAAGCTGGAATCGTGAGTAGATTTGGAACTTGAGCCCCGGTGCTCCGATATGGAACATGGGCACCGCAAGTGATATCTTAATGTCTATAATAAATGCACACATATGCACATTTTCTTATTCTTTTATTCGGCTTTTATGGTTGAACTATGTAAGTCTTGTATATATTATAGATCATAGAGTTTTATCTGATACATGATTTGCAGATCTTTTCTCTTATTTTGTTGGCTTTTTTTCAGATACTCAATATTTTTGATATATAATGTATTTTTTAATTTCAATTAAGTCTGATTTGTCTATTTTTTTCTTCTGCTGCTTGGATCTTCTGTGTCACATTTAAGAACTAATTATTCAATCTGAGGGTGTGAAGGCTTACTCCAACAGCTGAGATGAACCCTAAGAACTTGCTCCATTTGCAGAGAATTATGAGGAAGATGAACAAAGAAGTTTATTGGAGAGAAAGGAGAAACAGCTCCTGTAAACATAACCTGGAAGGGAAATAAGGCCCCACTGTTGTTTCTTGTGCTAGAGATGCACATATGTAAAACATTGTTTTCTCGCTGAACAAATATAAAGTTCTATTTAGGGGCCTGTCAGCTGTTCATCACTCTGGAGACTGGTCACAGACAACTCCAGAGACTTGACCTTCTGTGCAGCCTTTACATCGGATACTAAAGTCTGCTTTCTCCTGACGACCAATGAATTTACTTACGTCTCTTTCAATATCAAACTTGCTTCCTATCTCATGTCAGTTTCCCTTCTAGGTTAAGAAAATTTTTCACATTATCGGAGGGGTCCTCTGTCCCTCCCTCCCTTCCTACCATCACCATTCTGACTGACTCCTTTCTTTACAGACTTCAATATATTTTGATCCATGTACCATTACAGTGAATTTTTGTATGTGATGTGATGTGTGGGTCCAAGATCCTTCTTTTGTATGTGGGTATCCAACAGTTTCAGAACCATTTGCTGAAGACACGGTTCTCTTCCCATTTAGTTTTATAGGCGCCATTTTCAAGATCAGTTGTCTGATGTGGGGGTGTATTTCTAGACTCTCAATTCTATACCCTTTGCCTACATAACTAACTTTATTCCAGTGCCACACTGTTTTGATTACTATAGTATGTGTGTGAAGTTATAAACTCAGGAATTATGGTTCTCCCAGCTTTGTTCATGTTAATATCATTTTGATTATGCCAGCACCTTAAAATCCCATATAAATGTTGCAGACCCATTTCCATTTCTGGAAAAATTATCTTTGGGCTTTTAAAGGGAGTTGCAATAAAATTATACATTACATGTGGTAATATTTTAAATCTAACAACACTAAGTCTTCCAAGCTATGAATCCTGGATGTATTTCCACTTATTTAAAATTTTAAAAATTTGTTTCAGCAATGTTTTATATTTTTAAATGTATGTCTTTAAACTTCTTGTGAACACTGCTTCTATATATTTCATTCTTTTGAATAGTAGTGAATGGGATTGCTTTATTAATTTAATTTACCAATTGTTCATTTCTATGGTAAAAACAGAATACTTTTGCATGTTGAATTTGTACCATGGAACCTTTTTCAGAATTTGCTTATTAGCTACAGTAGTAACTCCTCGATTTCCTATACATATATGATCAGTCCACATATGCATATAATTTTGTTTCTTCTTTCCAATTCACATGGTTTTTGTTTGTGTTTGTAACTTAAACTTCTAGTAAAAAAGGAGTCACCATAATGTATGTGAGCCATGTCCTAGTTTTCTCCATACTTTGATGGGTAAGTTTTAGTCTTTAACCAAGTTGTATGCTACCTGTGGGCTTTAAACATGTGACTTTGCTCAAATTGTGTTTCCTTTTATACCTATCTTTTTTAGTGAAACAAATGTCATTGATTATCTTAAATAAAGTTATATGTACTTTAATTCTTTTTTTATATATTTTACAATGTGCCAGTTCATTGTCTTATGTTGACATATGTTTGAATTCCTGGGAACATCTCTCTAGGTCATGTTGCATAGTGCTTAATACACCATTAGATTCAATTTGGTCATGTTTTGTTGAGAATTTTTGCATCTGTATTCTGTAGAAAATCATTTAATGTTCTTTGTTGTGTTGTCTTTGTCTGTGATCAGTCCTCTATTGTTTTCATGTGGTTATCCAGTTTTCTTAACACTATTTACCAGAGCCTATACTGTTACTCACTGTGTATTTTTGATGCACTGTTTAAGAGTAGTTGGCAATACTACTAATCTAATCTCAAATTTTCTACTTCACTTTTGTATGATAGTATCATGCCCTCTCAGTTATTTTTATTATGATTTCATATCATATTTTAAAATCACAAAAATAATGCTTCCTGCTTTCTTCTTCTTTTTTTTAAAAAAGATTTATTTATTTGAAATTCAGAGATACATAGAGAGAAGGAGAGGCAGAGAGTGAGAGAGAGCGAGGTCTTCCATCTGCTGGTTCACTCTCCAATTGGCTGCAAGGGCCAGAGCTGCACGGATCCAAAACCAAGGGCAGGAGTTCTTCTGGATCTCCCAGGCGGGTGCAGGGGCCCAAGGACTTGTGCCATCTTCTACTGCTTTCCCAGACCATAGCAGAGAGCTGGATTGGAAGTGGAG